TAATAATAATAATAATAATAGTACCTTACATTTCTCCTTGCTGAAATTCATTTTGTTAGTTTTGGCCCAGGACTCTAATCAGTCAAGGTCATTTTGAATTTTAATCCTGTCCTCTGGGGAATTAGCAACCCCATCCAATTTAATATCAACTGCAAATTTAATCAGCATACTCCCTATTCCTCCATTCAAGTTATTGATAAAGATGTTGAATAGCACAGGGCCCACAACAGAACTGTGAGGCACCCCACCAGTTACCTCTCTCTCCAGGATGAAGAGAAGCCATTGGTGAGCACCCTTTGGGTTCGGTCAGTCAACCAATTACAAATCCACTGAACAGCAGCACTGTCTAGTCCACATTTTACTAGCTTCCTTGCAAGAATATCATGGGGAACTTTGTCAAAGGCCTTACTGAAATCAAGATATGCTACATCCATAGCGTTCCCTTCTTCTAATCAAGCCTGTACCTCTATCAAAAAAAGTACTGAATAGGATTCTGACCAATAAACATACAAATAGGGATAGTAGAATAAATCTGTACAAACCGAGTGATTTCTGTATATATTTTTAAATTAAGTGTTGATTTACCCAACAGTGCCCATACTCATAACTAAGGTCTGGTGCAATATTTATTTATGTTAGTTATTTCTTACATTTATATACTGCCCCGTTAGTGCATAGCACTATTCAGAAACCTGTCCCATTCAGTATACTACAATTTAATTAGAACCTTTCTTTGTGTGGCTTCTGCACATGTAATTCCTTCCTGTATACTAGAAAACCAATATTACTGAACTGGCACCTTATTACTTAGCTTTTGTCTTCTGTCAAGGATAGAGATTCCTGAAATAATTGTCATTCAAAAAACAAATGAATAAAAATATTACTGAGCGGCAGCAAAAAAAGGAAAGCTAGTACCTAAAAAACCTCCCCCTGCAGGAATAGCAACTGAATAAACAGGACACTGTGAAGAGGTATTTTGGTCAAAATATATCCCCAGTCTAAGAGGCTAGACTAGAGTTGCAAATGACGAAATGTGAGGTAAAACAGTTTTCCCCATCTTGGTCCATGAACCACCCCAGATCCTGTCTGAACCTGAGACAATTACAAAAGCAGATGCCAGAAGAAAGAATCTTTTCAGGACAGTTGCCCCAAAAAGTCTCAATGCAGTTTACTAGTCTACAGTCTACAGTGGATAATGTGGCTGTAATTGATTTAAATAACGATACATTTCCACACAGAGGTTCTAATGAAGACAGGAGGAGGATATGTAGAGAACTTGAGATTCCACATAGAATGTAATGGTAATTCCCCATTTATCTGTACTCTTTTGCACGATGCTTTAGCCCAGTGGTCCCCAACCTTGGCCCTCCAGATGTTCTTGGACTTCAACTCCCGAAAATCCTGGCCAGCAGAGGTGGTGGTGAAGGCTTCTGGGAGCTGTAGTCCAATAACATCTGGAGGGCCAAGGTTGGACACCACTGTTTAGCCTGTATAGGTTGGTAACTTTATTTTTACTGATATTTAGTTATACATTTTCATTGGTAGTTTACGAGTTTACCTCTTAGCCTGATTAACCTTGACTAAAAATAGAAAAGATGGAATGATAGCGTTTGGATTTCCTGCAAAAACTGAATGGAAGGTGGTGGCAATTCCAGACAAAATAAAGCAGTGCGCATGGATCTAAGTCCTTTTGGTTATTATCTCACCTGGATCATTGAAGGGCACTAGAATGTAGTTATATGGTGCATCAGGGGAGCCAGAATATTTACGGAGGAGATCAATGCATGTCGTTTTCACCTGTTGGATATCATCCGACATGCTGCCTGTGGTGTCTATTGCAAAGGTGACGGAGTAGCCTTGCAAGTTGAAAAACTTCTGGAATATCTCTTTGCCCACCTCATCCAGGAAGCCAAATCCTGGACAAATACAGAACACACATCATGCAAACCAAATAATGCAGTACTGTACATCTCGTCCCACCCCTTACCTGGAGTGACTGGCGCCTGGTTATCATTTACCAGCCGAACCAACAAAAGCAAGGGAGGAATTTCAAAACTTACTCTTTCAGAGAGGATGTAATGATTTCAATAGGAATCTGGCCCCAAACTAATTCACTCCTGCTAACATTATCTAATTTTGATAACAATTCACTCTTATCACTCATTGTGGCTATTGTTGCTGCTGTGTCTTCGTTCCTCTTAGTTCTTATTTCCTCTGTTGGAGAAAAAGTCTAACTTAAAAAGTAAAAAAAAAGCCTAGTATTTGTAAAACTAAACTGAAATAATTTTTAAAAAATAATGAGAGGCTTCTGGAAGGATATTTTTGCCCCCCCCAAAAAAATGTAAGAAGAGAGTAATCATATCTAAATATTACTTCTTCTATTTTTAAAGGAATGGACAGATCCTGAAGCTGAGGCTCCAGTACTTTGGCCATCTCATGAGAAGAGAAGACTCCTTGGAAAAGACCTTGATGTTAGGAAAGTGTGACGGCAAGAGGAGGAGGGGACGACAGAGGATGAGATGGCTGGGCAGTGTCTGCGAAGCAATCAACATGAATTTGACCCAACTCCGGGAAGCAGTGGAAGATAGGAGGGCCTGGCGTGCTCTGGTCCATGGGGTCACGAAGAGTCGGACACGACTAAACGAACGAATTGACTGTCAACACCTTATTTTTGAAAAAGAAACATTTTGCTCCCCAAAAGCAACTTATTATACAGCTGATTTTGTTCCATCTAACATATTACTCCCAAGCCCTGGGGTTCTGTCTAAAGGGGCTAGCTGCTTCACTAGCAGGGTAGAATCAACAGGGCTCTTTCAGAAGTAGCTTCCATAGCAAGCTGTCAAGGAAACAGGCTCGGCCATTACCTGCTCCGACAAAGAAGTCCCTTGTGGCTTGTATGGCTAATTCAGCTGCTCGCTGGTGTAAGTAGTAATGTGGGGATTGCTCAGGATCAGACGTCTCTTTGTTGATGCCACCCTTGGGAGGGAAATTTTGAGTAGGATCACGTTTCCCACCGTGTCCGCATTTGCCTGCAAAAAGAATATATTATTATTATAATTATTGTTGTTGTTGTTATTTTAGGCTGCCTTTCTCCTGATAAGGAGACCTGAGGCAGCTTGTGATATAAAATAATAGAATTAAAAACATAAGTTGCACACTGAAAAACAAGTAAGCTACATGCTAATTAAAATACAATTGAATAATTGTATAGGAATGATACTGGATTACCCAGACTAGAATACTGTAATTATTAATATAAGAAAGGAGGCATGCATTGGGGGAGGACAATGTGAGTGGCATGTTACATCAAAGCCCCACATGATGCCTAGTGGTTAGGATATTCTGGTTTGCATGTTGATTCTGGATGTGTGGAGAAGGTAAATCAGTGGTGCCCAACTTTGGGTCCCCGGATGTTCTTGGACTGCAATTCCCAGAAGCCTTCACTGCTACGTAGTTGTGCTGACCAGGATTTCTGGGAGTTGTAGTCCAAGAACCTCTGGGGCTGGGACAACTGTGGTGAATTCATGTCAAAATGCAAACTCAATGAAGTTGTCTTCCATTCCTATCAGAAAGCTCTTTCCCAATGTCCTGACCCACTAATTATTCTTAGGGAAGCTGCTGCTTCTCAGGATAAATTTGTGATAACTCTTGCTTTTTCCTCCATTGTCCTCATCTTTATTGTTCTCTTTTTCTTGTACTACAAAATTGGAGGAGGAACACAACATTTCTTCAGATCGTTTCGGGATGTGGAAAGCTTCAGCATTCCAATGGGACAGAACACTCATAGATATCCATAAAGCTAATTTTGGGGAGTGTAAGTATGACCTGAGAGCCAGTGTGGTGTGGGAGGCAGTGTGGTGTAGTGGTTAGAGTGACAGACCAGGAATTTTAGATTCTGATCCCTGTTCAGCCACGGAAACTCACTTGGGAAGGGCAATGATAAAAGCGCCCCGTAAATACAGTGGTGCATCGCAAGACGAATGTAATTCTTTCCGCGAGAAGCGCTGTCTTGTGAAAAAATCGCCTTGCAAGGCATCGGTCTTGGGGGAAAAAACCCATCTTGCAAAGTATGGCCATTGAAGAAACCGTCTTGTGAGGCACCATAAGGTAAAGGTAAAGGTAAAGGTTCCCCTTGACAATTTTTGTCCAGTCGTATTCGACTCTAGGGGGCGGTGCTCATCCCCGTTTCAAAGCCATAAAGCCAGCGTTTTTTTCTGAAGACAATCTTCCGTGGTCACATGGCCAGTGTGACTTAAACACGGAACACTGTTACCTTCCCACCGAGGTGGTCCCTATTTATCTACTTGCATTTGCATGCTTTCGAACCGCTAGGTGAGGCACCATAGCGATAGCAAAAACCAATCGTCTTGTGGGTTTTTCGTCCTGCGAGGCATTCGTCTTGTGAGGCACCACTGTATCTTACATACCTTGAAAACCCTGTTAAGATTGTCATAGATCAGATGTGACTCAACATTACATAATAAAAATATGTGAATAGTAGAGGTCAGGATAATTTTGTTTGGTCTGGGTTTTTCAGTTGAATCAACCAATTTTGCACTTCCCAGGCTAACGTGTGGAGGATAATCCAATTATCTTCTGGTTTCCTTACTTCTCTAAATTTTATGGTGCATCTCTTAGCTCTAAAGGTATGACCCCCAAATGTACCTTTTAAGAGAGATGCTGTACATCAATTGTTAAAGTAAGAAAAGGCACATCTAATCTTCACTATATTGTTGGTCTATAACTCCTAGCTTGCACCCCCTTTGGTTATGACAGGGTGCAAATAGATGTGGGATTTGCCCCACTCTGGTGACAGGCTGGCTCACTCATTTTCCTGGCAACCATGCAATGTATGTGCCATCATGAACCAGCCCGTTCCTGATGCCTATCCATACCTTTTTGCGTCCCTGTCAGGACCTCCTGTTTTTGTGTGTGTGCACGCAGGTAGGATCACGCCGTTTTGGTTTAGTTTGAAACAAGCAGACGGCTTAAGTGGTCTGCTTAAGGCACTTAATGATATTGGGAAGATGAAAACTTTCTCTGTGGAGGGGGAAGAAAGAAGAAACTAAGGGTTTTTTAAAAGAGTTTTTTATTTTTTACAAAAACTCTATAGCAGTGCTGATGTGCTACGGCTTTTGGAAAAAAATAAAATAAATTTAAAAAATTGAAACACTTCCTCCCAGAAAAAGGACAGGGGGGGGAGATCTACATCCTTCATTAAAGGTAAAGGTTCCCCTTGACAATTTTTCCAGTCGTGTTCCAACCCTCATGTACGTGACCAAAAAAATGTCAAAATGTGTATAATAAGGGAAGTGTGTAGCCCAAAGAAAGCTTAAATGGACTAAATATAACTTTTCTCGCATCCCTAAATTTATATTAATACACAGAGCAGTCATTCCATGTGGTCTCTTTCTTGCTGTTATGGAAGCAAGGATGATGCCACTGGGAAGAACAGAGCTTCTTTCCACAAGCATAAATTTGTGGAAGGACATGCTGGATGCCTCCTTGTACAAGATTTGGAAATACTGATTCTCTTACACAATAGATTGCTGTGCAAGTGGATCCAGCAAACAAATCACAGAATCATAGAACAA